ACCTTTGGGACTGGACTAATGCTATTTTCTCCATTCTCTGCCGGCTGGATCTTGGCTAGAGAAAGGCGTTCTTCCCCCTATGCTGCCAAGCTAAAGCGTGTGTCCTTGAACTGAAGGCACTGATGGCGATGGGAGGAGGAGCGTTGTTTTCACCCAGACGAAGGAGTTAAAGCAGACCGAAAGATGGGGTGGCAGTTGGGGATGTGGGTGGGGGACAGGAGTTTTGCTCTAGGCAGCAGCAGCGCGACGGGATCAGCAGCCTGGGCCATTTGAAGCTGCGCCGCTGTTCATGATTAAATAATGCATCCTGATTGATTGGTCTGAAAAGTGCTGTGTTGTGGGGTCAGGCTGCTCAAGTTATAGTTTTCTGGTTAGATTGATGATTCTCAAAGGTCGAATTCAGAAAGCAATTCCCTGGTAAAATTGATCCTTTGGACGAGGTAACTTTTGTGCTATGGATAGGGCCGGGCAGCGAGAAATAGCTGACCTGGGACTAAAGGGGGAGGGCGGCAGGCTGTCTCTGCTGCTGCTTGCTCTTTATTTAATTTTCCTTGTTTACACTCATTAGAGAGCGAGAGCCCGCTCTGGGAAGCACGGTGCCCAGTCATCTTGACGTGCTCCGACAGCCAGACAGATTGAGGCATTCCGTGGCTGACCCAGGAAGCCTGTCCTTCCTCAGCCATGCCCTGCAGATGTGACAGAGCAATGCAAGACCACTGCCCCAGGACTGAGAGTAGCCCCAAGTGCTGATCCGGTAGCCGGCGCTTGGCTTGGCTGCTGTGCATCATGGGCAGTGAGCTGTGTGTGTGCACGTGAGGCATGAGCATGCACGAGCGGGCACGTATACCCGCTTCCAGCAGAGACCCTTATTTCACGCTCTTGTAGCTGTAGGAAGATAAGCCAGGGCTGCATTCCACTCTCTGGCTAAGATTTGGTATCTGAGGCCTGGTAGTTAGGAGCAGGTTTAAATTCCATGCTGTGGTGCAGCACCTCAGCTCTTTGAGGGAACCCTCTAGTTTTTTTTGATTGTTCTGAAGGCAGAAGAGTGGGGGAGATACATTAGCCCTAGAAAAGGGCAGAGGATTCGGGGAGCTTCTCTGCGCCCATCATTGTGCCATGCGACCGCGGGTGAAGTTCAGAGAAATGTTTAGTAAAATGCACCATGCAGATGGAAGTTCAGACACTAGCAGCTCAGCAACACCTTTCTATTGTAAGAGCTGCCCAGCCAGGTACAGGCCACGACTGAATAACCCGCTTAGCCTCTGTTGCTGCCGTGGGAATGCAGCTGGTGGTGAACAGTCTTGTGACTCGGGGAAGGGCTTGGAGCATGAAGAGACTGTCATATTTCACACATGATCCGACTCAGCTGCCTTGTCATGACAATAGTGTATCTATGAGTGACTGTAAGAGGTACCAGGGGCTTATGCCCAGTAGTGGCTTTTGGTCCCCTTGTCATGTGATAGCTGAGTGCACGGCAGAGCAATGAGCTATAATATCTTTCCCTTTCTGAGGCTTTCAATGCAGCTGGCAAATATTAATTAGTTAAGCATTGGGAAGTATTAGTCCCATTTTATAGATGAGGAATTGGAGGCAAAGTAACTTGCCTATAAGTCTATGGCATAGCCAGGAACAGAACCAGGAGTCCTGTCATCCAGGCGTTCTCTCAGACTAAGCTTACAGCTCCAGGTTTGAACTAAGGAGAGGGAGTTGCCCTTTGCTCCACTCTTCTTTGCTGTTCTGAAACACCATTGGGCACACAACAGCGCTAGGGTTTCATCTGCCTCAGGCCCATGTGCCTACTGGTCATACTTTACGCTTCCATCTGGTCTCCATCCCTCAACCTGGAGCTAATAGTTCTGGAGGGGGAGAGGACAACTTGTGCCATGTGACAGTGTTGCCTCAGGAATCCATCTCTCCTCTGCTGAGAAAACGAGACTAGGAACGCATGGCCCTGACCACTGGAGTGTCTGTCAGAAGGGGAGTGAGGAGCTAGAAGAAGTTAGCCTGTGTGGTCAAGGCTTCTGAGCTGCCTCCCGGGTGTAGCACCCCTGTGTCTGAGTCTGGCTTTTAAATGGGGGGTCCCAGAGTTGACTCATGCACTTTGTTGTCCCCTTTCACAAAGAGTGAGTAGTGCTGTACCTCCCCAAAGCCCTTGCTCTCTGACTCAAGCCTGGGACAGCTCAGCAACGGTGATGCTCTGACCTGTTTTAACCTGCTATCTGCTTACTCCTCCCCCCTTTCTTCTTTTGTTAATTTTATAGCAAGAGAGGGAGCCAGTGCTCCGTGGACTCTAAATAATTCACAGAGTCAGGCTCCATGCTCCAGAGTGCTGGTCATTGCCTATTCCAAGAGGTTAGGACATCAGTGCAGAAACTTCTCTCAATCAAAGGCAGAAGGAAGAACCCATCACAGCTGAGACATGGGGACCCTTTTTTTCTAAGTGCTGGCTAATGCCCCCTTTTCCAGAGTCTCTGATTTACAAGCTGCTCCCAGCGTTTTTAAGTTCTATGGTTTTTAGCTTTCAGCTGTTACCTGCCATTGCCAGCCTTCAGTAACACAGACACTCAAACATAATATGCTGTGTTTGGCAGCTCCTGCTTGAGACAGCAAATTTGCTCCCTGATGGAGTGTATATTTCCTTCTCTGCCTGGGTCAGAGATGAGCAAGGATTGTATGTTGGAGAGGAGGGACTCTGCCCAGTTTCTGCATGGCATGTGAGGAAATAGTTTGCTGGAAATAAGAACAAGGAAACAAAAATAACTTAGGAGTGAAATCTTCCAGCCATGCACACATGGGATCACTGCAAGGGCAGACTCAGTGGATCAGAAACATGGGGATGGGACTCTTTGGAGATTCTACAGAAACTTCTGCTCCTAGAATAGTTTCCACAAGAGATTGTGATTTCTCTCTTGACTGGGTATAGTGCAGGTGAACAGTACCAGGTTTACACCTCTTGAGACTGATGTCCTCTGTTTATTCCCAGAACAGATACAGCACAGAAGGCAGCCAGACAAGCTTCTCCTATGCACTGTCCCATCAATAGGCCTGATTCTCCACTGCCATGCACCTTCTGGTCATTTACACCTATAAAAACTGAGTACTACCCAATCAGACTTCTTCACTCACTTACATGGGTGGTTACATTTCTACACTCCCTTTGCACAGATATAAATGTTACACAAGGTGCAAGGTCGTAAAGAATCAGGCCCATTGTACCTCAACCCTAACCTAGAGGAACTACTTGTAAGATAAGCAGGGTTCTCAGGCTCCATGGTCTATCGGGCGCATAGCCTGACTATAGGCTTGCGAGCCCTGAATTCTAATCTCAGCTCTGACTTGGTAGGAGTTACCTAACCCCTCTTCTTCAGAGTCCTCAAGTGTAAAACGGGGGTATTTAAAGGCTATCAATCTTGCAGTGGTTCATTAAAAGTTTAGTCATTAATATTTGCAAAGTGCTTAGTATTGTTTTCATTCTTTGTTTTCTCTGGACACTTCCAGAAAGGGAGCAAGTTGTGAGGATTTTTTTTTTTTGACAAATGGCCTTTTATCCACTAAGAACTGACCTGAGACTCACTATATTCATTTCACACAGGGCACCAAATAGCCATCAGTCGGTCATAACTTTCAGACATCACTGCTCAGGGCTGGATTGCAATGGTTGGTCTCAGGATGAAAGGTTCTATAGCCTATCACTACTCCACCCCCTGGGAGAAAGGCTCTTAATTTTAACAACCTGTTTGTGGATTGAGGGTCATGACTCATTAATATAAACACGAGCTATTCCTCTAAAATCCTGTGCGTCTAAGGGCCCAAGATAGTTCAGGAGAAGAAAATGGGGGGTCTGGGTGATCTCAATGATTCTCAGAGTCAGCCTTCCCCTATCTTATCCCCATAGGTTTTCAGCATGGGAAGAACATGTGAAACTGGGAGGTCTAGGTGGTGTTTTGGATTGATGTGGAGGGTTTATTTAACATCAGTCTGCCTTGGATCACAGGTGAAAAGATTTTGCTGATCTTCACTTAAGACTTGGTGATTGTTTGTCAGCTTCACAAATAGTAATAAGTTAGGGCTAACTTTGGGTCTGACTTATACCTTCTGCAGTTGCATTGAATTCAGTGGTTTTGCACAGGGCGTGAGTCAGCACAGAACTGAGACGTTAGTATGTATATAATGCCTTTCATTCAAGGATCTCAAAGCACATTATAAATAAGCCTCAAAACATTACCCCCATTTTACTGATGAGAAAAGAGAGGCACAGCGTTAGAAAGTAAGGCCAAACCTGGTTGCCTAAAATCAGGCCCTCTAAATCCATCTTTAGGCACCAAAATAAAAGCAGCCTGAGGTGCAGTTGCTCAATGAGTCTCCGGTCTCCTAGAACCTTGATCTTACCAGGCTAGGTTGTGCCATTTACTATTAGCATTTATAAACAGGCATAGTCCTGTCCTATTGCAGTCATGTGGGTAGGGGTGTTTCAGATCCCCCATAAACAGGTGAATGAATCCTCGTAACACAAATGCCAGACACAATAGGAACATGGGTGAGTGCCATGAAACCCTTGTCAGAGCTGCTGTGAAGGGGTAACTAGCTTGGCTCTACTTCTGTATGTTCAGTTCCACGGCATGTCCATCTCAGCTGGGAGTGGATGGGTTACTGTCCTGAGAACATAAGAACAGCCACACTGGGTCAGACCAAAGGTCCATCTAGCCCAGTATCCTGTCTTCCGACAGAGGCCAATGCCAGGTGCCCTAGAGGGAATGAACGGAACAGGCAATCATCAAGTGATGCAACTCCTGTCGCCCATTCCCAGCTTCTGGCAAACAGAGGCTAGGGAGACTATCCCTGCCCATCCTGGCTAATAGCCATTGATGGACCTATCCTCCATTAATTTATCTAGTTCTTTTTTGAACCCTGTTGTAGGTTTGGCCTTCACAACATCCTCTGGCAAAGAGTTCCACAGTGGCATTGTGTACCATTCTCTCTCTTTCGTTTTCCTCCTACAGGTGTAAATGCAACCTCCATGCCAACCTGTGCTCCTTTAAGGAGGGCAGCCTGCAATGTGAGTGCGAACACAACACCACTGGCCAGGACTGTGGCAAGTGCAAGAAGAACTTTCGCACCAGATCTTGGCGGGCCGGCTCCTACCTGCCTCTCCCCAACGGATCCCCTAACGCATGTAAGTTACTATACTGAACTGAGCTCACACTGGTCCTCTACACAATGCCTGCAAGTGTAAGTAAGCACCGCTTCAGGATGCCTCCATCTGGAGTCAATGCCCAGGTCTGCAGGAGAGGAGGGTTTGGTTTTACAATGGAAGTAAACATTCACTCGGTTCTCAGTGTGCACAGGAATTGATTGCCACATGGGTAGATGGAAGGGGAGCTTGATGACTATTTGTAGTGGAGTGGCTGGAGTGAAAGGATGTGGATGGACAGAAGGGTATCCAGGCTCACAGATGGTTAGGTGTAGGCCATTAGAGAGATCCATGGCCTTGAATAGGCATTTTACTCTGAATTACTCTGTCCCTTAAAGAAAACATCATCAAGTGGCTGTGGGAATGTATTTACCTTCAATTCAGTGCACAATAATTGCACGGAAGACTGAAGAACAGGAGGATGGAAAGGAGTGTTGGGTGCCCTATTTATTGTCAGCTAGAAGCTGTTCATATGTACATCATGGAGTATTTGGCCACAGTGAAGAAGACAAAAGTGTCCCTGTCCCTCAGCACAGTAACAGTCCCATGCAATTAATTGTCTGCTGCATTCGTGTTGTGGTACGTGCTCGCATGAAAAAAAAACAAACATCAAGGCTGTAAGTCATCATCATCATCTGATCACGGGAATATTGGTGGAGGAGGACACCAGACATAGTCCAATCTCTCCAGGGTTATGTCCAGTTTACATTAGCAGGCTTGCTTAAATGTCACAGAGCAGCAGTAACCACTCCAGCCTTTTAAGTAGCAGCCTTGAGTGTTACCAAAGAGAATCCTTTTTTCTCTCCCCCTCCATTTCTGAAAGATTTATGCGCTTTAAGATGATCAAAGCTGAAATACAGGCTCCGAAGGCCGTGACAGGAATGTTTTGTGTGTGCCAGGGATGGTAGATGAGCTGGTTCTTTGAAAGGGAACAAGCTTGTCAGCTACCACCAACTGCCTGTGTTCCTTCAAAGGATCCTGGGAGAGATTTTTGGTGTTGACAGGGACAATGACATGCTATTCTCTTTCTTCCATCTCTCTCCCCATTTCTCTATCTCTCCTTCCTTTTTCCTGACTTTCCTTATCCCCACTTCCCTTCCCTCCATTTCGTTCTCTTTTGTACATCTGTCACTCATTCTTCTCTATATCTCCCCTTCCCTCCCCCCACCCCACAAGCACCCACCTCATCCTCTCTCCCTTCAACTCTCTCTCTGGCAGATTTATGGCCAACTTCTGGAGTAGAAGCAATTCTCCAAAGGCCTTTCTCACCAGCCATTGTAGTATTTTCATTGCTGGCCACCTTCTTTATGGTTGGGGAAACCTAACTACTGGGTGTTTATCTCCACTGTAATATCTGGATTAAATGTGACCTTAAACGGTCCTCAAACTTTTCTCCCACCTGTGACCAATAAACTAGCAGGGTTGGAAGCCGGCACCCTCAGCCTCACCCCATTGAATACACAACTTAGAGGCAATTTCTTCCCACCAAAAACTCCCAGCCGCAGGTCAGATGTGGTTTCCCCTCTCCCCTAACCTCCATTGTTGGGTGTTCCGTTCCAACCTGAAAAATACCAATCCCAATACAATCCCCTATGAGTCAGGGCCTGCACCTTGGGAATCCAGCAGTGGTGATGTGGAGCTAGTGCCGTAGCAGCACTGACTGGATTCACATCACACGGTTTCTCAGAAGAGACCATGACAAATCTCGAAAGCATACATGACCCTTACTGGGCATAATGGCAGGTCAGGAAAAGGGTTAAGAAGAAATTCTATTAGCAGTAGGCATGCTGGCTTTCCTCCCCCAGCCACTGCAGGTAGATTTCAGCCTGTGCCTCAGGACCCAAACATTTTCAAGGCCACTTCTGTCTGGTCACCTCTATGGTTTGCCTAAGGCTGCTTTTAAGACACAGCAAGCTGGAACAACTATCAACAAGGCTCCTGTTAATTAGCACAATGGCTCTCGGCTTCTGCTGACCCTGTTTCTTTTCCTTTCCTCCAGGTGCAGCTGCAGGCTCGGCCTTTGGCAGTAAGTAAAAAAATGTAACTGAACTGCTGGCATGTGACATCTTCAGCGCATGGGCCCTGTGCACATCACTTGGGAGACAAATGGTTCTTTTCTGCTCATTATCATCTGCCAGGCAATAAGTCTTCTCCTCTAATTGTCTCTCATTGTCTGTCCCATCAAAGAGCTTTCTATTTTCCTTCTTTGACTTCAGTAACCTCATTGTTTCTTTCTCTGGCATGGTTTCTCCCCATGAGGTTCGTTAGAATGGCAGCAGGAAAGGAAATAAAAAACAACACACTTCTTCAAAAACACCAATGATTGCATTGAACTTTTCCCCCCAGTTTCACAGACTCCTGCTCCAAGGAGCTGTTTTTGAATTCTTTGATACAGCATCCAGTTTGGGTTACCTTGGGCCTATCATGCCATCTATTTAAAAATAAAATTATATATAAATGTAATATTTGAGGCACACGCAATTGATTTCAGTGGGGATTTCTGCAGACCAAGCACCTTCAAACTTTGGGTCACCTGGAATCTAGATCTGAATTTTGTGGCTCAGGTTACTCTCTGAAAGAAATATACAGTGAAGCTGGAGAGCACACAGTGGAAATGTGATGGTGAATGGGATAGACAGGCTTGTTTATGAGTATAAGGCAGCTAAAGAGGGATTATTTAGCCTTCACAGAAGACAAGAGGTGACCTGAATTAAGTATTTAAACTAGCTAAGGATTATTATGAAATTAAGCACGATAATCTACAGTACATGAGGTTGTGGGACAAACAAGGACTCGGGGACATAGGTTGAAGTAAGAATTTACATTCATAATAATCCCTCACATTTTATTACTGCTGGCCAGAGCAATGAGAATTGGAATAGAATGAATATTATAGTCAAACCATGGTATCAAGTAGTGTTCCTGAATTACTCTGTCATCCCTGGGGTAACTCCCCTGACTTTTCAGGAGTTATACCAGTGATTAATTTGGCCTATTGTATTAAATAATCCAATGTTCGCTTTTTGGAATTTATTAAATGAAAGGGACGTCATTTGATTTTATGATCACCTTTTGGTAGTCTGAAGGGAATCGTTTTGCTGATTAGGAGGTTTGTCTTGGAGTATCTTTGCCATCAGAGAGCTCAAATGTATATGAGAGAGATGGCACAGCTATTGTCAAGCTTTCAGACAGGAAAGGCGTGTGTAGCCGGTTTCTGATCCCACATGACTGTGCAACTCCTGCCTCTCTTTGCCTTTATCCCGTCATGATACAGACACACTCATTCTCTCTTGGCCTTTCTGGGCTTAATTAACAATGAGTTAGTGATAAAGTTGGCAATATTGAAACCAACATCCGTGCCAACAAAGCAAAATTATGTAGTAACCCCACCGAAACATGCACGCACACACGGAATCTTCCTAGGTTCTCATCACAGATCTAACACTGTCCCAGTGCTAAATTCTCTCTGAAATTGGTTCCCCCCCCCCCGCCCCCCAAACCCAGCAGCTTCTTCTGTACATATCCCGCAGCTGGGTTCTTCAGTTTTTCCTCTCTCTCTCCCTCTCTCTCTGAGAAAACCAAGAGCAAAGCTTTTTGGTCATCAGTGTCCCCAGTTCCTGGTTGGTGACATACTCTCAGGAGCGAGGCTGTCCTTGTGTTCCGAGGGCTGGTTTGTAGTCGTCATTGTTAGGCCTCTTTGGTAGTATACTGGATTAAGTCCCCAGGACAGCATGTTGATGTAATTTCTATAAAGTGCTTGTTGGTGACTGCAGAATGGGAGCCCATGGGGCCAGGTGAGAGCCATTCCTACAGGCATGCTCTCAGGGTTCTGAGCTGACTCAAGTAAGGAAGGAGAAAGGAGCAGCTTTTGCGACTCCTTTATGTGACTAGTAATGGCTGGAATTTACAAGGCCTTAGAGCCAGTTCTCTTCCATTAGATTCTATGGGAGTTTTGGCATTGATTTGAGAGGGAGCAGGTCCTGTGTGCCTCCTTCACTGTGAAAATAGATCATGGAGGTGCCCAGGGGCTTGGGATTTTATGTACCATAAGAAGCAACATCAAGAGGCACAGAGACCCTCCACCCTCCTCAGGTGCCTTCTTTTCACCTCTTTTCTTTGTTTCTTGTTAGTGTATGAACGACCACAGCGAGTTTCCACTACAAAACCCATTACCACGACAACATCCAAAACTACAACACCCGCCACCACTGCCACTAACCAGCCTGTCACCACGCAGCAGCCAGGTGGGTGCCAAGCTCCACTCCGCAAGGCAGATCCTACCTTTGCTAGTACAGATAGGTCCCTTAGCTAGTTTCACTTCCTTCTTCCGCTGCCGGCTTTGCTTCCCGCTGCAGCTCCTCAAATGGCAATGATTAGCTTTAAAAGGAAGATTATCTCCTCTGACTCCTTGTTCATCTATCTTGTAAGAGTTTCTGGGGACATGGATAAAAATCACACTGGATGGGTTCAGATCCTCCCAGCCAGCAGAAAGCCTAATTAATGTTCATCCCTAATTTAATTCAGGGAAAGGGCATCTGGACCTGGAACATTAATAATACACAGATTCTTCCCTCTTCAGCAACAGCAGTCAATCCCAATCCCAAAGTCGACTCCTTAGAAGAGGCAGGTTGTTGCATGACCCTTCATCTGTCTGTCTATCCTTTGCTGCTGCTCTGAGGTTATCGGAGCATCATTTCCCCTTGCCTCAGACCAGGAAGTAGAGGCCAGAGCTGGAATTTGGGGGCATCTAAAGCTATCATTTTGAAGCTTTTACTTTGGGACTAGCCTTTCAAAGTCCTCTGAGAGTGAATAGCTGAGCCACAAAAGTTGCTCTTGTGTGTGTACTACAATGAGGACGAGGATGGGAGAGAAAGAAATCTGAGGTTTTATTTGCCTGTTTCTTTACCAGAAAAGAACAACAAACTTGACTCACCCCAAGCAAAGGGGCGTGCAGGATATAGAAGGCTGGTTTTGTGTCTCTCCGCTTTGCACAACTCTAATAAGGAGTTTTCGAAATGCAGGGGCAGGTCCTCCACGCTCCTACTTCTGCTTTGACCTTCCAGCAGAATGATGAAAGTTGGTCTGAGTGGACAGTTGAGGATTTTTCTTGCATCAGGGAATTCTCCATAGCATAATGGGCATGGTCAAGTAAAGAGTGCCTGGCCTGAGCACTGCTGCATTCTAGTGATTCCCCAGCTAATGGAGTGACCCCTCAGGGCCCATTGCAGGTGGGTGTAATTTAGAGCAGCCCTGAGGGTGCTCTAAGCTGGACTAGGAATTGAATCAGCTATCTTTGCTCTGCTTCTCAGCCTCTTGGGTCCTGTACCAAACCCCTTCTTGGCCAGACCTGAGGATATAATCTGTGAAGTTTTACATTTGGAAAAGTGGTTTGGAGGGAAGAGCCACACTTTAATGATCATCAGAATGATTCCATAAAATGCTTGGGGACAGGCTGATCACACACACTGGAAGTCTTAATATCTTCTAGACTGCCCAGTAGAGAGAACTTGTATCACTTTTTGGGGGAGGGAGAGGGGGAGGTTGTTCGTTGTTGTTTTTTAAACTACATGCAGGCCTGGTTTCTCTCTTCTTTTGGGGAAGAGGAAATGAAATGTTTCTGCTGTTAGTTTACAAGCCTCATGCACTTACTCTGCTGCTGTGTTTTCTGGATCTGATTTTCCCATGGGGACATTTTCCACCCCCAGTACATTAGTAACAGTCAGTCTTCTGGGGGAGTTGCTGGAAGCCAGTTGAGGGAAAGGCAATGCTTGATTGTGTGTGCGAGCTGGTGGATTCTTACCAGCCCGGGGGGTGGTTCAGCAGATGATCACTAACATGATTTGGCCCTGTGGCTAAACTTCAGATCCCACAGCTCCAAATGTCACCATTGCCTGGTGGGCCAGAAGGACCCCGACCACCACAGAAGGGGGTGGTGTGGGGGAGGGGGGAAGAAAGAACACCAGAGGGAATGTAGAAGAACTTATAAAGGGCATGTACCTGCATTTAGTTTATCATCATCTACAGTCAAAGTCTTCAGTCCCATTGCCCTATAAATTCTCTGACCTCTCAGGCAAATCCACAGTTGCCTAGGGAGGCAGCGCCCAGCCTGTGCCCAACTCTCCCCAAACTCAGTACCTTACCTTTCTCCCAAGGGTGATAGTTTCTTCTCTGAACCCTTTCTGAGCTTTCACCTCCCCTCCCCAACCCCACATAGCACTCCTTCAGCCTCCAATCTCCTTAGGTGTTACCTCTCCTCTTCTCAGCCCTGGAATGAGTTTATCTAAACCCCAGGCCCCACCCACTCCCAGCAGCCTCTGAGTGGAATGGGTAATTGGAGTCAGCTGCTTGGTTTTTTCCCTCCTACCCACATGTGACAGTCCACACTGCCATAGTGTGTTTATGCAAATATAGATATATTCATGGAGGCACCATGGTTTAGTGTTTACAATGGGGGTTTGGATGGATCAGGAAACCTGGTTTCTATTTCCACTGAGGCATTGTGTGACCTTGGGCTAGTCACTTCAGTTTCTCCATCTGTAAAATAGAAATAATACTTGCCCGTCCATGCTAATATATATAGTGAATGGGTTCCTACAGCCCACACTTGAAGATTATATTAGCTCAAAGAATGTGTGCATATTATTAACATACCTGTAATAATGAAACTTGGGTTACATGTACATAACACGCACCCAAGGTCATGTGATTTTTATCCATATTTGACCATAGTAGTGCTTTTGTGTGTAGCGTGTGCGTGTGTGTGTGTGTGTGTAGCGTGTGTGTGTGTGCGCGCGAGAGAGAGAGCGCATCTTGCTGAGCATCTGTCTCTTATGGTGCAATTAATGATCTGTCGAGTGGGGGGGGGGATGGCAGAAAGGCTGCATGTTTCTATTAGAGAGGGGTGAACAGCTCTGAGAGAAGTATCAGACCATCTTCCCCTGAACACAGGACCTTTGTCATTCTCTAGGCTGGAACCAGCCCCTCTTCGAAGGTTCTGGTTTACACCACTCACTTTTCAGTTAATGA